CGCTATAAGGCTCACACAGACTGTGAAAGGGTGATACTGACCCCTTCTTTCAGAGCAGCTGGAGTATTAGATGAGGAACACACATAAATGCCCAATACAGGACCAGGCACGTGGGGAGCATTCAAGTAAATATCAGTCTTCTCTTTCCCTCCATCCTTTCTTCTGCATAATTTGAAGAATTAGAATACTTCCAAAAGTGCCCATGGTAACAGGTCATGGTCAGTTTGAGTCAAGGATTACCAGTTAATATACAAAAAAATAAAAAAATCAAATGAGAGTGAAAATTTCCTGACCTACAGGCACTAAGGGGAGAGGGAACACAGCTTGTTTGGCTAGGGTAGTAGCAGGCACCTCACTATCCCACTAAGATGCATGCCAATGGCCATACACCTTTGCCTTTTCTGACTCTGGCTCCTGGCAAAGCCTTGTAACTTTCAACAAATATTTCTAGAGCCATGACTATGCTCCATGCAGAGCCTGATGAAGACTTTTAGAGGCCCTTGTACTAAAGGATCATGAGTACCCACCACTACGTAATTAAAATTTTTTTAAATGTAAACAAAAAGATGTCTTTCCTAGACTTTCGGGTTGCAAATCTCCGGCCAGAGTCACTGCATCTGAACTTTACCCCATCCCCTGCTGTCTTTTCTGCCTCTGTCTTCCTGGTTCTGGAGGATCTGCACATTTTTCCAATTGGATAATCCAAAAGAAGTGGCAGGCACCATCCAAGGCACTGGGAATTCAGTGGTAAGCCAGACAGGCAGACAAGGTCCCCACCTGTAGGCAGCTTGGATTCCACGAGAGAGAGAAAATTGTTAAGCACATAAATAATAAAATTGGATCCTGATTCTCAGCCAATGGTTAGAGAAGACATGTAAAAGGGACAAATCTCCTTCTTTAGAGGTGTTCACGGGCCCCATGTCTATTCAGAACTGGAGACTAATGCTGCAGTAACCAGCACCCTTAGGAGTCACTGTCTTGTTGATGCCCCAGAATGGCCCAGAAGTGACGGAGATGAGCCAGGGATAGAACAGTAAGACATTGTATTGTCCTGGTGTCACCAGCAACTATCTTGAGAGCAAACACTGGGACAGCTTCAATGCATAAACCTTTTCTCAAATAAGCTACTATTTCATCCTCTCAAATCTCCTCCTCCTTCATTCCTGCTTCCTGTCACAATGGTCTTCTCCCCATGATAGACAGAGTCATTATTAAGGGAAGCAGCAATGAAAGGCTTAGACGTTGTTCTTGAAGAGAGTGAAGACTCTCAACTCAGAATGGCTCTAGGTCAATGAGTAGCAATTACCAGACAAGAAGCCACCAGATTTCATGGAAGAATGTGCCTTCTTCAAATGCTGGACCAGACAACTCCGTTCCAGCAGTGACATCACTAGATTGCAGTTGTCACCATGGCAATGGACAAGGGAGCCCAGGAGGCCCCGAGCAGCTGCCCCTGCTTTCTTTCAAGCCAGCAATTGCGTATAGGATCGGTGCGCTGGACTGTGGAGGCCTTGAGAGGCTTGGAATTTTCACAGAATAGGAGGGAATCCTAGAGGTGGAAAAAATAATATTCTTGCCAAAGTAATATGGGCCTGAGCTATTAAATTAGAAAAATAAAAAGATGTTCCCCTATTTTGAATCCCAAACTGTTGAGGTAAAATATGTCACTTATGTTTTCTTAGATGTTCGTTGGTTTCTTCAACTAGAATAAAAAAAAAAAAAAAAGAGGGACTCTCAACTGACGTTCTTCTTGAGGGCTCCTGGAATGTTGTATCTCAGCGCCTGCCAACTGGCACTGTCACCAGCTCCAGATGTTTCATGGCATTCGGCACCACTAAAATCCATGCGCGTCCATCCGTACGTGAAAATAAAATGCGTGGCCAAGTTATAGAAATCCAGCAGAGCAAACATGGAAATGCGCCCACATCCCAGATACATGCTAATGACAGTGGCATTCTGAGTCAAAGGAGAATGTTCCAAACTCTTAGCTGAGTGTCTGCTTAGCCAAAGATAAACAGATATTCAAGAAGGTTTCTCAGCAGAGAATGAAATGAATCAAAAAAAGGCCAACCAAGGCAGGTACTGTTTGCCACACAAGAGGATGCAATCAAGATCTCCCCAATTCTCTCTGAGAACCCCACATTCAGTTTTCTGCCTTGCCAAAGGACCGATTCCCTTATCAGCTCTGTCAATAGAAAGTAAGGCAACAGGCTACAGAATGAGCTCATTTCTGGGCTGTTTCTCTGCCCCTAAACCCATTTAGAGTTATTGATGCTGGATGACAGGTCATAGCAACTGTGTTTAGGTTTTCAAAGACCACTGTATTCATGACCCTATGCTAAGTGTACATACTGTATTCATTTGGTAGCAGAAAGCTTTGCCGTTTTCCAACTGGCCCCACGTTCTGTTCAGCCTCCTTACTCTTGCACAAGCTGTTGACCTTGTCTGGAATGGTCATTATACTTCTTTTATCACCTGGCTAATACCTGAAGGACCCGTGAGACTCAGTTCAGGGATAATTTCCCCAGATTCTCCCACTTCTGGGCCAGGTCTCTCTTTGCTGAACTCTGGACTTGCCCCACTGTCACCATGCATGAAACTGCTGGTACTTACCCATCTGCCTCACCAAATGAGGACCTTGTCCAGTGCAGTGGATTAGGGTTTGGGATTCTAGAGTCACCTGGCCTAGGTTAAAATCTTACTTTCCAAATGTGAGATGTTGGGAGAGTTATTTATCCTCCCTGAGCCCCACATTTGCAATATGAGGATATGGATAGCATCGTCCTTAGGGTGCTTCTGTGAAACTGAAGGGAAACATGCCTGTGAGGGGCTTAGCATAGCACAGTGTCCCTACTCTCTCGGTGAGCAGTAGCTACACTTGCTGTGTCTTTCAGATCCCTGGAATCATTCGTAGCTCTTTTGGCTGGGAACACAGACGGCTTAGAGAGGAGTAAATAGGGGGTAACAAGACCAGGATGGTAAGTTGGGACTTTGAATGCCAAGTTAAGATAAGATAGGACTGGGTCTCGAGGGCCATGGGGAGCCCTGGAAGGTTGATGAACAGAGTTGTGTCCCAATAAAGTGATGCTTTAGGAAAAGCCCTCTGAAGGCAGGCTAGGAAATGGACCACAAAAAGAGAGAGACCAGAGGCACGAAGACCTGTAAGGAAGGAAGACCTGCTGGAAGAATCCAGGAGAGCAGGATGAGAAAAACTGCGAAGCAGTAAGGATAGCTCTTGGGTTTGTAGAAGAAGAAAGAAGCAAATTTCAGATCTGATGATCAAGGGGAAGTAGGGACACCATTAGTAGAGTTAGGAAGTCGGGGGAAAGGGGCTGGAGAGACCAGGAAGTCGGTGAATCATTCAAAGACAAGATTTCTGCTCTCAAGAGAGCTTCCAGTAGAGGTTGGGTACATGGCTTGGGAGTATAAAAAGCCCAGAGGTCCGAGATCTAACAAGATTGCTGATAGCACAGATCTGCTTGCAGACCTAGACTCAACAATGACACAGTTATATCCACGTGACCACATAGACAGATGGAGAGACATCCGTGGGCACGACACCACAGCACGGACACATGTAGATGCACAGATGCCAAACACAGCGATTCACACTCTCTCCCACTGATGGAGCTGTGTCCTCTCATACTCACACAGACACATATTCCTCATTCTCAAGACAGGTGTCCCTTGGTATCTACAAGGATGGATTCCAGAACCCCTGTGGACACCAAAATCTGCAGATGCTCCGGTCCTTTATATAAAATGGCACAGTATTTACATATAACCCACACGCTTCCTCCCATGTACTTTATATCATCTCTAGATTACTTATAGTACCTAATACAATGTAATTGCTATGTAAACAGTTCTTATATTATATTGGTTTTTATTTGCATTATTTTTCATTGTTGTATTATTTTCCTTATGGGTTTTTCCAAATACTTTTGATCCATGCTTAGTTGAATCTGCAGATGTGGAACCCACAGAACCTGACTATACACGCACAACACACACACACACACACACACACGTATGGATTTTAAGGTGTAAAATAGATCAAATGTTCATGGTGACAAGAGGATTAGTCAGTTAGTGGAGGCTGTGTAGTTACAAGAACCAAATCAGTGAGTCAAAATCATACTAGAGAAGGTTTTACGAAAACACTGTAAAATGTAAGATGGTGACATTATTCCTAAACTAAGAGCATAGTTTTGCTCTCAGGCTTTACATGTAGGCATGTGAGTGGTTTCTTCATTTTCCATGTGTTCTCACTCATGCATTTTCTGATTCGATTCTCACTTCAACCCTGAGAATAATGCAGGGCTATGGATGTTATTATTCCCGCCATAAAAATGAGAACACCAAAGCTCAGAAAAGAAAAATGTCTTGCTCAAGGTCATATTGTTAATAAATGGTAGAACCAGGATTCAAATTCAAGTCTGTCTGACTCCAAGGCAGTTCCCCTTCTACTATCATGTGGCATCTGAAATGGCTCACAAACTAGGGTTGCAATGGTTTTTAAAAAGTCTTTATAACACGGAAACAAGGAAGAATTGTTGAAGATGATGGGAAGGACAACATAGCCATTATTTCTTTTTCTGTATAATTTTTTAAGAACAGTTCCAATTTTTAAATTGTGGAGAAGAAAAGGAAAGAAAGCATGTGCCATTATTTGTGCAAGTAATAGAAGCAATGACAAGATGCTGAGGTCCCCTAGAATAGAACAAGAAAAGCTCTCAGGAAAGAACTGTAAAGCTGGGATTCAGAGACAAGCATAAGAGAGAGAAAAGTCATTGGGAATTCCAGAGGAAAATGGAGAGCTAAGGTGCAAGGTTCCCATCAACAAAGATATTCTTATTCCCATTCCCCTCATTGCAGAGGACCCAGGCTGGGTGGCAGCGGCACCTTAATCAGACTCCTGCTTTGGGCAGCTGTGTGGGGTGTGTGTTGGGGTCACAAGGACTGCAGACGGTCTGAACCATATCTTTCTTTCCCAACAGACTCTAAAAGAACAAGAGTTTGGACCCTCACACCAGCGAGCTTGTAAGTGTGTTCATCTTTGATGTCTTTTCTTGTGGAAAACAAAAAAATTTCTAGTCGTCCCAGTATGCAGGAAGTTCGGAGGTTTGTCTTTAGTTACCAAGTTGCTAAATCTAGAAATACAAACCCAGAGGAGAAGCGAGGCCCCTCCCTAGGCACTAAGAAGGAAAGGTGGCCATGGCCAAGTGCATGGCCTGTAGAGCCAATGGCCTGAACCCAAACCCCAGCTCTGGAATCTACTAGCAGTGTGAACTTTGGGCAAATAATTTCACCTGTCTCTGCCTCAATCTAGTCACCTGTAAAAATGGTTACAATAGTACTGACCCAACAGTGTTAGTGTGAATTAAATCAGTTAATTTCTACAAAGGGATTAGAACACTGTCTGCACATCAACAGTGTGCAGCAGTTTTTTGCTTTTGACCATCATCAACATCATCTTTATCACTACAGATAGAACACACTTAATCCAATATAATCATCTCTGAAAACCAAAGGGGAATTCTGAGGTCTTCTTGAGAACTAATGGGGAAACAGAGGCCCAGAGAGGAAAAGGACCCACCAAGGTCATATAACTACAGAGCAGTCCCCACCCCTTCCCTCTCCCATTTCTGTTGGGGCATCCATACACCTCAGTGATATAGTTACAGGGCTCATGAAGAAAGCAAAAAACTAATTAGCTCCCATGGAAGGAGCTCGAGGGAAAGAGCAGCAAGTTGGGTTTTATTGCATTCTGACCATGTACCAAGAATCGTGCCGAACACCCTCCATCTGTGGTAGGGATGACTTTGCCCATCTTAGAGATGAGAAAACAGAGTCTCTGACAGGCTAGATAACTTGCCCAAAGCCACGAGGCCAAGACTCTTCATTCTGGATCTCCCCTGTCCTCAGCGGTACTTGCTACAGGCACCACATTCTAATCCCAAACCCACAGGGAATGGGACCAGACCAAGTCGGAGGAGACCAATGTTCCTCTCCTGTTCCAGGCACCCTGCAACTCCCACAGTGCCCTCTCCAGTCATGCTTTGACTCATCTAAAGCACATTTCTCTGTTTGTTACAGACACACCTCTCAGAGATGATGGAGCTAAGCCAAGGGCACACCTTACAGGTAAGCCTCCCTGCTGTGTTCTCCAGGAGACCACGGGCCATGATCCTGAGATTTCTTTCAGCATATTTATTGAAATTACTCTAGAAGCTTAAAACTGGAAACCACACTCCTTGGTAACAGATTCATCCTCTCAGTGGAGGGTTTTTTAATGTCTTTCTCCCTGGGAGGAGGTCCAAAGGCCCATGTCTCCTGCACATTTTCTTGTGGATTCTATCAGCCCTCTTCCTTTCTCTCCTGTCACTCTCTTTCACTCACACATCCTGTTGTTGAGAAGTGGCTTTCCTCAGTCTCAGAGCTCTAAGTGTTTCTGGATGTGGTCACAAATGAAAGGTCCCCTGAGTTGTCAATTTATTCAGTCCATCTGTGCCCTATTTAAAATGATGTCACTGGACATTTACATTCAGGAAGATGTTTCCAAAGCATTTTCATTGATAGGAACAGATAAAGAGGGATGTCATACTATCACCAGTTGGCCAACTTTCCGAGTCTAGTGTGGAAATTCCAGCCACCTCACACCTGGAGTTCATATACCTCTGAAACTCCAGAGGAAAGAGCAAGACAGTACAGAAAGATAGGTTAAAACCATTGAGCATAAAAAGCAAGCATATTCTCCTGACCTGTATGTAAGAAAATTTGCAGTCTTCAGGGGGATATCCTTATGACCCGAGATATTGCCATTGGACAAAGAGGAAATTGTTTGTGGTGAGTCCTGGGTGAGGATTGAGACCAGGGAGATGTCGAGTTGCCATCACTTACCCCTTACCTGTAAGACAAGGAATTTGTTCTGATGGATCAATGGGGGCAAAACAGGTCAGCTAATCATTTATGAGGCAAAGGATAGAGATTTGGAAGGTCTGAAGTCTGGTCTTGTCATCGGTCCACAAGAGGGGCATCTACAAGTCTTATCTAAGTCATTTAGGGAAGGGTAATTATTTCCAGTTAGCCATTTTCCTGAACACAAAGGAGTGGGAGGATTTCTTAACCTTCACTGTTTTCCAGGATCACAGGGCTCAGGTAAAATTTGAAATTATCAGATCAGGCAGCTCAGGCTCAGAGAGGCAAAACAATTTGCCCCAGGTCACAAGCCCAAGACGCTACCCTTTTTGAACAACTGTGTATATCCACTGCTAGCCTTCACTCATTCTTCCCCAAGGCACTTGTCAGCTGTTGGTTATATTCAATCACTTTCCTCTTCTTTGAAAATGATATGAGACTCTTTTTAGCAAAGTCCACAGCTTCCATCAGGAACAAATTAAACTTCTCTCTTGTCGTTGCAGTTGTGAGACAAACTCCCACGCCGCACTTAAAAAATCAGTTCCCAGCTCTGCACTGGGAGCATGAACTAGGCCTGGCCTTCACCAAGAACCGGATGAACTACACCAACAAATTCCTGGTGATCCCGGAGTCGGGAGACTACTTTGTCTACTCCCAGGTCACATTCCGAGGGACAACCTCAGAGTGTGGGGAAATCAGCCAAGGGAACCGACTGAACAAGCCGGACTCCATCACTGTGCTCATCACCAAGGTAACAGACAGCTACCCTGAGCCCACCCAGCTCCTAATGGGGACGAAGTCTGTGTGCGAAGTAGGCAGCAACTGGTTCCAGCCCATCTACCTAGCAGCCATGTTCTCCTTGCAAGAAGGGGACAAGCTGATGGTGAACGTCAGTGACATCTCTTTGGTGGATTACACAAAAGAAGATAAAACCTTCTTTGGAGCCTTCTTGCTATAGGGCAAAGCAGACATCATTATGTGATGGTCCTCTGCTACCTCGCTCCTAAGTTTCTTCGGTCATACGTAATCATAATCAGGGATTTTCTTGGGGCCAGGGTTAGGAGGCACTCCACAGAGATAGTGGTTTAGCTATGAAATTTAAGGCCCAAAAGTTCACACTTGATATGCCTTACTGATGAGAATACTAATTGGAAAATGCTAAAGCAAACAGACATATTACCGTGGTTGCTTAGAGGATTGGTGAGTTTCTAAATATTAAAATACTGACCACCAAATGAATGGATGGATGGTCTACTTGGGTCAGGATTTAAAGAAGGACGTATCTCCACACCTCCCTGCTACACATTTGTCACCAATGGCCCAGTTATTGTTCAATTTGATCATAAATTTGCTTCAGTCAGGAGCTTTGAAGAAAGTCCAAGAAAGTTCTAGAAAACAGTGTAAAACCTTCAGAGGCAAAATCCTTTATTAGTTTCTCCACATACGTTCATGCCTTGACTAAAAATAATGAAAAGAGAGTTGGTATTTCTCATAAATGTTCTCAAAAAAGGAATTGGTTTTCGTACCATCTACAGCATATGAGAAAAGCAAACTTTCCTTTGATTATGCACACAGATATCAAAATAAGCAAGTAGGAGTTTCACATGCATAGCAAAAATACGACAATTGCATTTAGTAGAGTTTTCTTGAGTACCTATTAGATTCCTGGACACTACCTTAACCCAGAAGACACTATGAAGAACAACACAGACTCTACTCGAAATGTAAATAAATACCACTCGATGCTTCCTGACCAAATATCAGTCAACATACTCTAAAAAATAACTCCAAATCCTAAAAAAAAAATCATCTGAAACTGTTACATAAGATTTCTGGCTCTCTCTTAACTGGGTAAGATATCCAACTCATTAGGTCACTCAAGAAGCCTAAAGATCAATTTCTAGCTAACTAACTGTACAACAAACTTGCTTGATGCTGGAAGACAATGGACTTATTCCCTGGAGGTTGGGAGAAAGAAATCAATCACCAAGTCTGGAGAAGTGAACCTGGATCTGCTTTGAGGTTTGATTTGCATAACTTTATCTACAGAGTGTTATGTGGGTATTTTTCCCTTGCAATATTCAAGGGATTTAAATATGGGATTAGCTGATCAACCTACCAAGGCTTCTTCCCTGGGGAGAGGCTGGATGTTGAGAATGTCCCTTCTGTGCTTCAACAGGTTCATATCCTCTAGTCTATCTGATTTTCTTGCACTGATACATCAAGGGTGGGAGGGGTAGCTCTGCTTTCTTAGCCTTTGTTGACTTGTCTGTAAAGCAGGAATCCACCAATTTGTTTCCCAGGATCAAATGAGCTCACGGGCATGAAACATGTGGACTTCATGCATTCTGTATAGTCCGAGCATTTTGGTGTGACCTGGCCCGTGACTTCCAGCACGTTGGCCTCTATTACAAATGCTCCTCACCCTGGGAGACCTCGTGGATGGGTCTGAGAGCAAGCTTGGCACCAAAATCACCCTTCCTGTGGTTGCCAGGAGATGATAGAAACAGACAGCAACGTGAGAGGCTCCTGAGCATAGCAACCAGTGCAATAGTAGTACTCGGTCAATATTTGTCGAGTTATAATTAAATAAAAACTAATTTCCAGTTTCTCAGTTGGGAGGTTAAGGCTAAGTATGTTTCCTAACCTCTGCTAGGCTAACTGACACCAGGCCTTGTTCTTGACTTCAGCTTCTCCAGTCAGCACGGGACTCAGTGGGAACACAGACAAGGGTGTGGTCACCTGCACCTGGTTCGCAAGAGTCTTCAGAGAGGAAGTGAATCCTAAAAGAAGGTGGGTGGGCCCCAGATGACCACAGGGAAAGGACATCTCAGATGGGGGAATTACCCTTGGCTTAAAGTAGAAAAGAAAGGTTTCTCAGTAACTCCAAAACCAGCTTGATAAGAGAATGTTCCCTCAACCAACTCCTAGAACAGCATTTATTGTTAGATCAAGAATCTTTCCTCAGTAACTCTAGTCTGGTTCCATACTCAGAACTAAAATCCCCTAAGAAAATAAAATGCTGTATCTGCACCTATCTCCCTGGTGCATGAGAGCCCCAAGCCACTTGGGGTGCAGGAAAAGATTCGTACAGAAGAGGCCAGAGTGGCCTGTTCAAACTTGCCCAGTGTGCCATAGGGGATCCACTAGATTTAGAAGTTTATCCAAGACAGGAATTTCCTGACATCCTAAGACATTTGAGGCTTTGGAAAAATCCCTGCCTTATATTTATTTTGTTCCTGTCATGAGCTTGTTTATTGAAGAATGTTTTGTAGCTCAACTTTGCACTGCTGATTTTGTTAAATTCTGTACAGCACAGTATATCTTTTACTATGCAGGAAGGCACAGGCACGCATTCCTTAGAGGACTCAAATGAGAACTGCTGTTTCCAAGGCATCGTCTCCATAGCAAAAATTAGTGTACTATTTTTAAAAATGAGGTGGGATAATGCTTTTGAAGAACATGTGATGATCCCCTAAAAGGGATTAATGGGATACATTCAAGGGGTTTGGTGGGGGTAGGAAGGAGCTTGCTTTAGAAAATAGTTAATTTAGGGAGAAAATGTTTTACTGGTTAAATGCCTTTCAAAAGGCTGAATTCAAATCAATTCCACAAACATTTACTGAGTACCTACTCGCCCTGGAGACACAGAGATAAATTAATTTAGTCTCAGACCTGCTCATTTTAACTACTCAGCAACTCTATTGTCTGCCTGCAGATCCTTTAATTTATTTTCGTTGTATTAGCTAATTAATTAGCTAACTTTAGGCACGTTTTAGGATATTTTCTCATGATGAAAATGGGTGCCATTTGATGATGGGCGATCACTAACAAAATGATTTGTGTTCACTCTAAGTGGTTTTTTTAAGTAGCTACTGAAGGACAGTTTTACGTAAACAAAAGGAGGAAAAACAGGGAGATCATTTTCTGTGGTGGAATCCATTATGTAAGCCACATGTAGAAAGAGGTTTTTATTTCCTGGACTCAAATTGTGCATCAGCACCCTTAAAAATATTAGAATTGTATGGATGACTCAGCTGCTTTGAAAAGTCTGTTTCTCAGCAAACACACAACCATGATCAAAATGCATGGGGTCACTAACATTTTGACCCTAGCATGGTTTAGATCTATTTGGCAGAACAGAATTACTTAAGCTACTAATATTTCTAGTAGGAAAAGGGAAAAGTATACCTTTTCACTTCCTGAAATGTGTCAAACCTAACATGCCGGGAACCCTGGCTCCATTTCATCCTAAGCTACATCACCCCAGAGGAAATTCCACCTCTATGCTAGTCAAATAATTCCTCTGGATTATAAAAGTTCAACTAACTCGCTGTGAACAAGGCACAGCCACTGCCAACATTCTCTTGCAAGATATTTTCCCAAGCCCTTACCCAATTCTGTTTCCATGATTGTGACATTGGGGATTAATTATGCAGGACAGGGCTGTTTATATTCATTCTGTACCTTCAAAAACACATGCAGAAGTCTCTTGCCTCAGATTTTTTGCTCTCTTAAGGCCCAGAGTCCTGGAAGCGTTTTGTCATTTTTAGCAGAATTTTGTTAAGTAGACATCGTTACCCTGGATACTGCCATCATTGCATCCTATTGGTAGCTGGGCCTAGAAAGAATTCAGTGAACTGTTAACCCCTGAATCTTTTCACACCAGTGGGGAGACAGTGTGGGTCAGAGCAGTTTCTTCCATGCTTTGCCACGCTCTAACAATCATATTTTCAACTTCCCAAGCTCTGAGACACACTTGCCTCCCACACCATCTCCCCATTGTAAGATGAAATACCTTACCAGCCTGGACAGAAGTTACTTGTCCAGTGCCACACAATGAACTAAGGCATCCTACACTCGGATACTGTCTTCCTGAATCATAATCCCAGACTCATCTGATCTCCTCTGCTCTTAAGAAATATTAATAGCATTCATTTTAATGACTGGAGAAGAAATTGGTGGGAGACAGGAGGAGAATCTTCAAATAACTATGGGGCAACATGAATGTGGGGAGGAGATTCTTCCATGCGCCCCTCAGAGGAGAGAGCTACAGTTACATGGTCACCATCTCTGGTTTAATACCTAAAGGAACTTTCTACCCAAAACCAGAATTTTTCCAGGTAGCGATTTTTCAGTCCCTGAATGTATTCAAGGAGGGAGTTTAGCACCAGGGTTTTGGAGAAGCCATTCCTTCTTTGAGATTGGGGGAGGGATTGAGCCAAAGGATTTCCGAGGTCTTTGTTAATTGACTATCATGTATTCTATTTAATCATGACAAACGTGGCAGACCTTGTCAAGAGTTCAGTGGCTTCCAGCCTAGAAGTACCTGTCATTTCCCACTTGTCCAGAGAGTGCCCAACACAAAATGACTCTAAGATCTTGGCTGCTAGGGCAATGACCTGGGATTTCAGAGATGATAGGATCTGCAGAGTCTATCTATTCCAAGTTACTTCATTTCAAGGATGGAGAAACTCAGGCTCACAGAGGTGACATAGTGGCCCAATGCCAGACAGTAGCTCATTGGAGTGCTGAGACTAGAATTCGCATCCCCTGACACCAAGCCCAGTGTCGGGAGGACACCAGACTTATCCATGAGTCACCTATGTTTTTGAGCTCGTGTCACACGATAGCCCTTACCTAGATGCTGGAGAGCTGAGAGGGAACATGATGGGCATGTCCTATCTTGTGGCGTGTGCATTCAGGAAGAAGGAAACACACAAGGTGGAGTAAATAAAGTAGCTAAACTTAATCAAATGATTTTATTCTTAAAGTCATTAAAACATGTAATTTTCCCCTTTTTTGTTTCAGGGGTATACAGATTGAACAAACGTGGGTGTTTATGTGGTTCTAGTGATAAGCCCCATGTGCTTTCATTGATTTTATGTTTTATGTTAAAACATCAACCCCAAGGTAAAATGCATATTGTATGTTGTTGGATATGTACTTAACTGGTATGCCTCCCATGTCTTCGGGCACTACTGTATGAATTCTAATCTCTGTAAATGAAGTGTTGTAAGTGTTGATGTATTTAATGGATGTAACTTAATAAACTGGCATTGAATTTTGACGCTAATTGTCAATTCTTTTGTCAATCTGTTCATTTATTTTTCTCTCTGGATTAAGGTCTAAGGGTAATCCTTGGGCTCTTAAAAAATACATGTAGTTCTCTATATACTTGAATGCAAAATGGTAGATAACTCTCATAGGTTGTAATAAATCTCATAACAAATTGATCGTGAAACACGCAGATTGTGCCACTCTGGTCAGATGAGAGAAAGGAGGGAAGGAAAGAATCTACTAGGCCTCTTTTATGAATTAGGAGACTTTGTAGTTAAGTGGCTTAATCTCATCTCAAACAACCCCAGAATAGGAAGAGAGGCCAGGGAGATCCGTGTCACTACTTGGTGGAGCCAGAATTTAGATCTAAGCCAGTCTCTGACACTACACTCTGCTGCCTCTCATAAAAACAGCAATCAGCAAAAATCAAAAGGGCTCAGCACAGTCATCACTTTCCATTTTCCAGAGCAGTAGCTGGGGTCACTGTTGGCGCTCAGTCAATATTAGGTTGCACCATACGAAATTGCCATTTCCGAGGGTCAAAAGGGATCACGTGTCAGAAATGTCACTTGTTTCCACCTAATGGTTGTAGGTAGAATCAAACACTAAGGGAGAGGGGGTAGGCTCTCCTCCAAAACTTCGGTCTCAAACATTTCCCTCCCAGTGGGATTCCTGGGAATGTATTGA